CAACTTGACATACAGACCATCCCCCAGCACAGCCAAGTGCAGACCATCTCAAACACCTGCACTCAGGCCCATGGTCCTAATCATCCTCTATACGGACCTGCTGGGTAACGCCACAAAGAACCTGAGAATGGGCTCCCACAGGACCTACAGAACATCCCACAGCAGACCTGCTCTCCTTTCCTTTTTTCTTTGAGACAGGGTCTCATGTAGCTCTGGCTGGCCTGGCACCTGGTATTGTAGACCAGGCTATCCACTCACAGAGAACTGCTGGTCCCGCTTCCCGAATTCTGGGATTAGAGGTGTACACGCACGCACACACACAGAGAACTGTGAGTGTGCCGTGCGACACCATACCTGGCCTCTTGCTCTGCGGTATTTTCTCCTTTTAGCACGTTGGTATTTCCTCACTTCCCACAGAATACCTCTCACTTCTCCCCTGCAGGGGAGGTGTATGCGGAGTTAGACACGCGGCACAGGGAAGCCTGCTCTACCTTTTACTGTTAGTTTTTGTGATTCCTAAGGTAACGCCTGCTTATTGTAGGATGTGAAGGAGCTGGGGAGGAGATGGCTCAGTGGTTAAGGACCGTGGGGCAAGCATGAGGACCTGAGTTTGAATCCCCGGAGTCCATCTAAAGCTGGGTGCGGTGGTGTGGACACCTGAGGTTGTCCTTGGACCTCCACACGTGTGCTGTGGTGCATGTGCACCCAGACTCTCAAAGGTACACACACACACACACACACACACACACACACACACACACACACACACACGCATACCTTCTCTTATCCATAGGGTGAAAATTCAGGAGAGAGTAAATAGAAGAATCCAATACTTAGATGGCACTGATATTTTGGTGTAATTTTATTTTTCTCTTTGTTACTTCAGAAGAGAGTACTGAGAAATGTTTTCTGGAATAATATTGCAGCTATGTCTGTCTGTCTATCTATCTATCTATCTATCTATCTATCTATCTATCTATCTATCTATCTATCTATTTAATGTATATGAGTGTCCTGTCTTCAGGCATACCAGAAGAGGGAATCAGATCCCATTACAGATGGTTGTGAGCCACTATGTGGTTGCTGGGAATTGAACTCAGGACCTCTGGAAGAACAGCTTAACTGCTGAGCTGTCTCTCCAGCCCAATATTGCAGCTTTTAGTGTGCATTTTTGATTATTCATGTAGCTGAGTAATATTTCAAATAGTATTTCAGATCTTTTCTAGGTATGCCGGGTAGTTCTGTTGTCGACCCAACACAGCTAAAGTTATATGAGAAGAGAGAGAGAGCTCAGTTGAGGAAACGCCTCCATCAGATTGGCCGTAGGCAAGTCTGTGAGGTTATTTTCTGTGATCAATGATTGATGTGAGAGGGGCCAGCCCATCATGGGTGCTGCCACCCCTGGCTGGTGGTCCTGGGTTACCTAAGAAAGCAGGCTGAAGCCTGGGTATGGTGACACACTTAATCCCAGAACTGGGGAGGGAGAGGTGGAGGCAGGTGGATCTGTGAGTTTGAGACCAGCCTGGTGTACATAGAGAGTTCCTGGCCAGCCTGGTTGACATAGTGAGACTTTATGTAATGATCGACTATGACCTGAAAGGTGATGTAACCCTTTCCTCCCCAAGTTGCTTTTTTGATCAGTGTTTGACTACATCGATAGAGAAACAAACCAGGACACTAGCTTACGGTCTGTCCCAGGCCTTACCACGTCTAGTTCGCTTTCTTCTAGCATTCTAAACTAACTGAATTTTAAAGGCTTAGTTTCCACAGGTGTCTGCTTCGCTTTTCTAACTAAACATTTTTTTTAAAGATTTATTTATGTTTTATGTGTATGGATGTTTTGTCTGCATGCATCTATGTGCACCACATGTGTGCCTGGTACCTAGAGAGGTCAGAAGAGGGTGTTGGATCCCCTGGAACTGGAGTGACGGACATAAGCTACTGTGTAGGTGCTGGGAGCCGAACCCAGGTTCTCTGCAAGAGCGCCACTTGCTCTCAACTGCTGAGCCACCTCTCCAACCTCATGCTAACTCACTTGTTTCTTTTCCTTTTTTCTTTTTGGTTTTTCGAGACAAGGTTTCTCTGGGTAGCTTTGCGCCTTTCCTGGAACTCACTCTGTAGACCAGGCTGGCCTCGAACTCACAGAGATTCGCCTGGCTCTGCCTCCCGAGTGCTGGGATTAAAGGCGTGCACTGCCACCACCGCCCAGCTAACTCTCTTGTTTCTTAAGATGTGGTCTCATGTATCCAGGCTGGCTTTCACCTTGCTGTGTAGCCGAGGATGACTTTGAACCCCAGATCCTCCTGTCTCTACCTTCTGAGTACTGACATTACAAGCGCATTTTGCCATGTCTGTCTATGTGGTGCAGGGGACAGAACCCAGTACTTCATGCATATCAAGCAAGCACTCTCTCAACCAAGTTACAGCTTCAGCCTTCTGCTGTAGCTGGATTAATTATTTAGTTTTGCTGCGCTCATTTCTATCTGCAAATTAGGGTGGATATTTTTGTAAGGTTGTAATGAGGATTGGAAATAATGTCCATAAGTGGAGCTCAATAAAAGCAATCTAATTTTTGGCTTGTAGCTTTATTAGTCTGTAAGTACAGGTGTTCATATTTGTATAATGTTGCAAATGAGTGAATGCCCTCTGCTTCCCACTCAACTCATGTTTCCTGAGCGCCTGTGACATCTAAGTGCTGTTCATAATTCTTAAGGCCGTGTGTGCCCATTTTTCTTAGATATTTTCCCTACAATTAAAAACATATGCTGTGGTTCAACTTCAGTAATTTTCTTATTCATCTTTGTTTTCTCAGACTCTACCTTCCTGCCTGGCCCATGGTAGCAGGTGCTGAGTAAATAAATGTGTGAGCTGAGCTGAATAATTTAGTGGGGAAAGAAACACACACACACACACACACACACACACACACACACACACACACACACACACTTATATAAAACCTGGAAGTCTGTCAATGCACTAACACGTACAAAGTGCTCTGAACTGCAGACCAGACAACATTAATTTTGAGTAAGTGTGCTGGCAATACCCTGGGGTAATCTGGCCCCTGATTATGGACACTGAGGGAAAAAAGCCTTCGAGACAGACACCACCGTGTGAGTTGAGGTTTGGAGGTAGAAGTCAACTGTTTATCTCATCAGTTATTTGTGCTGGCCAGAGAGAGTGGGGTTGAACAGTGGGTCCCGATGAGCGAGATTTTGGATGTGACCAACCGGTCTTTATTATAGTTTCCAAGCGTTTCTGAAAAACACAGCCTTTAATTTGGTCCGAGCGGCTAGTGGGAATGAGAGACCTTGAGCGGCAGAAAGGAACGAGGTGGCCAGCGTTGGCCGGGAGGAGAGGATATGTCCAGGGGTGGGTGGGTACCGTTAGCAGCTAAGATGCACTTACCAAGACCGACCGACCGCTCCATCAGCAGCAGCAAGAGACTAGACAGCCCCGAGGCCCCGCCCACCAGGCCCCGCCCCCGCAAACCACGCCCACCCAAGCCCCGCCCCGAGCTGCTAGCCGCGAAGCTCGCACGCTGGAGGGCCGAGGGCCCGCCGGGCGGCGGCGGCGGCGGAAGCGGCTTCCCCGGTCGGCTTCGGCTGAAGGGAACGAGCCGGAGGAGGAGGAGGAGGCGACGAGGCCGGCGAGGCCTGCGGGCCGCATGGCTGGAGCTCCGGGCGGTGGCGGGCCAGGCCCCGCGGCCGGGGAGCCGCTGCTGCAGCGACGCGACTCCGGACAGGGCTCGCCCGAGCCGCCGCCGCCGCCGCCGCCGCCGGAGCACGGGCAGCCCCGGCAGGGCTTCCTCTCCAGCCTCTTCACCCGGGACCAGAGTTGCCCGCTCATGCTCCTGAAGACGCTAGAGACGAGTAGGAGCGGTGACCCGGAGGCTGGGGTCAGGGGTGGCATCAGATCCGGGGCCCGAGCAAGGGCGGGGACCCCACTGCGTCCCCGGGGGGCTCCACTACAGCCCCGGGGGGGGGGGGCGGCGCGGGCCTTCCCGCACCACCCTAGCTTGCGATCGCACGGCTAGGCTGTGCCCTTTTGGGTCACACTCGCTAGTTTCTTATGTAAGCCACGCCGCAGCACCCGCTGTAGGGTGGCGGCGAGAAGAGCTGGAAAGCACTCCATTAATAATTAGTGCACCCTTCCCTGGGCGGGACGGGGCGGGGCAGGGTTAACCTTCATTCATTGCACTAGGGACAGTGGGGAAACTTTGGAAAAAGCCTGGGTTTATGCACCCAAGTGCGTCTCGCCGGGGGAGAGAGCTTCTAGCTTCGCGCTCTCAAAGAGGCCCGTGACTTCTAAAAGGTTTATTACCATCGCGGCGGGTCAGGCAGGCTCCCGCTGAGCGGTTTCTCACCAGTCCCCGGGAGACTGCTTTAGATCCTTGCTGCTTTGCAATCGGCATAGATTGCCTGTCTACTTCAGACTCATTTAGGAAAGTCAGAGTTAAATGTATTTGTCCCAAATAATACCGTTGCCGTTTCATAGCAGAATCGGTCAAAATTCAGAAGTCATCCTGTCAAGGATTTTATACCCCTTTTTTCCCCCAATTTATTTTTATTTTATGTGCATGAGTGTTTTGCCATGGGTGTCAGGTCCCCAGGAACTGGAGTTACAGACAGTTAGGAGCTGTCCTGTGGGTGCTGGGAATTGAACCCGGGTCCTCTGGAAGAACAGTCAGTGCTCTTAACCGCTGAGCCATCTCTCCAGTCCCTTACTCTCATTCTCTTCTTTAAAAAAATTTTTTTTAAAAAAGATTTTATGTGTGCTGGGCGGTGGTGGCACACGCCTTTAATCCCAGCACTCGAGAGGCAGAGCCAAGCAGAGCTCTGTGAGTTCGAGGCCAGCCTGGTCTACAGAGCGAGATCCAGGACAGGCACCAAAACTACACAGGGAAACCCTGTCTCAAAAACAAAACAAACAAACAAACAAACAAAAACCCCCAAAACCCAAACAACTACAACAACAACAAAAAACAAAACAATAAAACAAAAAAGAATATATATTTACATTTTTTCTTATGTATATGATTGCTTTGCCTGCCGGCATGTGTGTGCGCCCCCTTGCATTCCTAGTGTCCGGTACAGTGAGCCACCATGTGGATACCGGGAACTGAACCCGGGTCCTCTGCAAGAGCAACAAGTGCTCCTAACCCCCC